CGAAATAAAATAAACAATTGACAGTTGAATGATCAATTGTGTAGTTTACCACTCATAATGGAGCAAAGCCGAATCATGATATTTCATGCCATGGTATAGAAGATCAAATATATGTGTTCGGCCTTCTATAATTTACTTCCAGGATGCGGTCCAAAATGCCCAAACTATGGACCAACAATAAACAAAATGGAATATATATTTTTTTAAGAAACAAAATGGAATGTAATTTACTTCCAGGATGCGGTCCTTTGGGTTCGGCTTCTAAGAGAAAAATATAGAATGTTTGAGCTTTGTCCGAATCCTATCAACCGGGAGAACTGTTCTCTTTTTTGGCGCTTCTTATCTACGGTCTGGTTGGAATTTCGGAAGCATATTGCTTGGTCGATTGGAAATTGCAATCTCATTAAATTTTGGAATGCCCAAACCTGGGTCAATTATCCCAATTAGCTACTTCCACAGCAGCCATGTGGCCGAGTTAGTTGATGTTGATCTGGATTGGGATTGGAGTCGTTTACACGAGATTTTACTGCCTGAAACTATACCCCACTTCCTTAATATACAACCTCGAAGCCCCTCTCTTGGCAGCGACCACTGTTACTGGAAAGAAGATCCAAAACATATTTTCTCCATCAAAAGTGCACACATGGCCATCTCTAGCTCTCTATGGAACGACGCTGTTCCTTGCTGGCGGTTGATTTGGAAACTAAAAGTCGCAGGACGTATCCGAAGTTTTTTATGGTTAGCGTTTCGAGACAGCCCTTACAAACCACGATCGTAGTATGAGAGATCTCGGCCAAGATGCTTCATGCTCCTACTGTGGCGCAACCGATGAAACAATGTTACACATTCTGCGGGATTGTCGACTTGCTCGTGCTCTCTGGCAGAAACATACAAACTATTAGCATCATCCCATTTTCTTTGCTTTAACTTTGCAGGAATGGTTGCTGCTTAATCTGGATTGTGACAGCTTTTGGGAAGCGTCAAATGGGCCATGACATATTATTTTCTCCTCCATCATTTGGCAAATATGCAAGCGCCGAAACATCTTCATCTTTCAGGAAATCCCCTCCGAGGCTGCAATAATCCTCCAAGTCCGCATCATGTGGAGCAAGCTTTATATTTCTACATCTTCCACGGGCCTCTCCCCAACTTTTCCCGACTCCAAGCCTATACAATAGCAATCACCAGAAAGAAGGGACTTATTCCCTTAACACAGACGCCACAGTCTCTTCTGATAACAAAGGTACCGTTGGAGGCGTTTTTAGAGACCATCGTGGTGCTTTTATCTTCGCTTTCGATAAATCTCGTGGCTACTCTTCTGTTTTGGAAGCTATATTATGGGGCGTTCTCAAAGGTCTCAAAATTTTATGGCAATATGGTTCCGAGCGAGTCATTGTGCAAACCGACAATAGTGAAGTTCTTAACCTTCTTTCACCAACGTCTCCAAATAGTCCTTTTTTCCATATGAGAGCCATTGCTGGCCTATGGCAAAAAGCGTTGTATGTTGAGTTTTTGCAGATCATGCGGCGGATTACATGGCCAAACACATTACCAAAGAGGATGGATTCCTAGATATTTTCAACTTGATTCCTATTGACCTTCACCGTATTCTCCATAGAGATGTTCATAGTCCGTCTTATTTGCGGATTAGAAGCTGGTGTATTTACTTAGCCTTTTCCTTTTTCATTAGGAAAAAAGAAAGAATATTTGGAACTTGATTTGGAAAATGATGAGACCACACCATACAACAACAAATCTTTCATAGATAAAAGTCATGGTATTTTTTTAAACAGTTAAAAGTCATGGTAATTGAATTCGAATATAATTAATGTAATTATATAAATATGATATATTCAATCAATTATTATAATGTATAAACTCTGTTGAATTAAATGTAAAAAGAAATCCTCAATGTAAGAATCTGACATGGTATTAGATAGTGGCCAATAAAAATGAAGTGTGTGAGTCTTCGGTGAGTGATTGTGCAGTTTAGGAATTAGTATTTTATTATTTAAAGAAAATAAAATTTAAGATTTTGATTATTCAGAATGGATTAATCAAAATACGAAAATGGATAAATGCCTCTATAAAGTTTTATATTTAAACAAAAAATCTATAATACTCGTCGCGCGTGGATAATTAATTTAGTTTTTCAAATTATAGAAAGTAAAACCTTTTATAAAAATGTAATTAATTAAAAATAAAAAATATTATATTATAAAAAATATTTTTCTTAAAAATAATACATCTAAGACCTTAAATAATAAATTATCAAATCAAATTTATCTTAAAAAATATTTTTTATTTTCTCTAATATTACTTTTAAAGGGTTTTCAAATATATTTCGTCTTAAATTTATTTTTTATAACTTAAAACTTAATTAGAATAACAAAATAAAATTCATCAACTTAATTAATTTAAAAAAAATCAGTCGATTCAATCGAATACACATCCTATTAATTTAAAAAAATTCATCTTGTCTGCCTTGGCCATTATTGTATCCATCGTAAGGTTTCTTGAATTTCCCAGATCTTCTCTTCAAAACTACAGCCCAGGTAACGGCTTCCAACGCCAAGGAAATGGCGCCCAACGCGATAATCACGATCATATAAGCCGATTTCCATTTGTGGTCGGGCCTCAAGATATTGAAGCCCTTAAACACGTTGAGGATCCCGAGCACGAGTATTGCGTATCCGAAACTATGGTGGTAAATGTTCCAGTAGAATCGGTACTTGTGATCCTTCTTCGGTCTTAAAAACAACGCAAAAATCTGCCAAAAAAACAATTTATTCCAAATTTGTTATTGTAAAAATCTGAAATTTGATCGGATTCAAGAAATACCTGGACGGTAGCAAGAACGAAAAGGGCGATGCCGATATTTCTATGACCGGAATATGTGATCCTCGGAGGATTGGCTGCCGAGCTTAAGACCAGTTCCTCAGCCAGCAACTCCGATGGCGTAACCTGATATTTGACAGAAAATATGTAGATAAAACCAAGCTGGATCTGCAGATTCAAACGCTCTTATAAACCGAGCGATCATTGCTCCAAGTGGAAACAAAATTCCCCAGCTCACGGCATTTAGTATCCCATGAATCTGATATCAAAATGTTTTTTTTTCTTTTGGTGAAAAATGAATCACCGGAAATATAGTAATGTATTAAAAAAAGAGTGAAGGAAAAGCTCACGTTTTTGTTCTTAATCGTGGTGTCTCCTCTAAAGCTACCGCTAGCGTGTCCGTTTTTCAAGTCGAGGGTTCCTTTAGATTGCAAATTAGCGGCGGCGAATTCATGTTTTGCCAACATGCCATCGGCTCCGACTCCGGGACCGATTTGCCATACTTGAATAATCTTCCCGCCCGATGCTAAATCCGCTGGGATTTTGATTTTAGCGAAAATCACCAAGCTCCCGTCGCTTCTGCTCTCCGCCGTCTTATCCCAAATCTCGAATGACAAGTCTTTTGGTACGATCGAAGAATAAGAGCTGATGTCGAAGGTTCGGACGACAGCGAGGCTGGATGTGGAATTTTTGTAGGCGACTAGAGCTTGGGAACCGGCCATGCCGGTGGCTTTGGGGTTTATGGCCCATGCAACCCAGCCGCCGGGTTTGGAAGGGGCGGCGACGAAGGCGACGGAGAGAGTGGTGTTGGAAGAGTCGTACGAGAAGTGAAGGTAAGAGGAAAGAGAAGGTAGGTCGAGGCAGGTGGAGAAAACTTGGTTTTTGGTGAACTTCTGGCCTGAGCAAGTAAGGGAAACCGCCGGCGGAATCAGCAGAGCCAAGAAGGTGGAGCAAATAAAAGCCGTCGCCATCGCCGACGGAGCCATTTCAAAACAGAACATGAAATGAGATTGAGAAATAAACAAGAAATATGAAGAGCAACTTGTGTAGAAATAATGTTTATATAGTTTTGGGAGATGGTTTTTGGAGCAAAATGGAGTTATGAGATTGTAGGTAGGATGAATTTGCCGACGGTTCTTTCCTAACAAAATCAAGCAATAAACCAATGGCATCAACCCACCACGACAGGGTTTTAGTTGGGGAAAATTTCTAGATTTCTACTCAATTTTCATTGACATCATCTCAGCCTCAGATCCCAACAAAATTCCTCTTCCTCGGATCCATGTTATTTACTTTTTCTTCAACACTGTTAACTTTTATTACAACATTACACTCTATATTACATAGACAATTGTAGTTACCATCAGTTTTTTATAATTATTATATGTTAAATTTAATTAAAGATGATAAATAATTAAATTTTAAATTATTAATTTATTGAGTGACCTAAAAGGTTAATAGAAGTTTGATCTTTTTTTAAAATCCTGAATTTAAATCCGTGTCAGTGTGTGCATATGTTATCAATAATTAAGAAATATTATTAACATGTATTATCCTTATAATCGTCTTTTACTATTAAGCAAATCCTTTAATTGCAAACTAAAAATTTTATCATATAATTTAAATCCTACTATTTGCATATTATTTACGGAAAATGTATTATGATTTTTTTTTATTTTGAATAACATTGTTTGATTTTTTTTATTTTTAAGTAATTTTAAATTTTTGACTTTTAATTTATCAAATTTGAAAATTCAGTTTTTTATCATTTGTACTATTGATTAGGGTAAATTGTGTATGTAGTCCCTCAACTGTCATTTTGATTTTGTTTTAGTTATCTAACTATTTTTTCTCAAAATTATCACGAATGTTATATTTTAGTTTTATTTTGATCACTCACCGTAAAAATATTAATGACAATATTGATATGTTACCATAAAATAATATTGTCATCATTTAAAAAATATAAAAATGTCACGTCAATAATTCTGTTAATTTTTTAACAACGAATGACCAAACGTGACGTTAGGAATGATTTTAAAGAAAATTTTAGATAGCTAAAACATAATCAAAGTGATAATTGGGTGACTAAATACATAGTTAACCCTTGATAATACTTCATTACCAGCCACACGCCCCAGTAGTGGATAGATGATGGAGATGGACTTTGAAACGAGAACAATAAGCGCTACTCTGTAACTGAAACACTAGAACATTCCTCTTCCCCATATATAAACACAAATCCGCTTAAGTCTCTCTCTAGCTTCTTCATCCTAGGGTTTACACCACCAGCCGCATAACGGCAACAGGTAACAATTTTCATTCGATATATTACTTAATTTCTTATTTTGGAGTTTCATTTCTCGTTTGAATCTTCAAATGCTTTATCTTTACTTATTGGCTCTTGTTTGATTAATTGGTAACTAGGAAGAAATGGCGGTTCCTTTGCTGTCGAAGAAGATTGTGAAGAAGCGCGTTAAGAAGTTCAAGAGGCCTCAAAGTGACCGCAAGATCTCCGTCAAGGTTATAACAAAACCAAAATCTGCTCTCTCTTATCTTATAAGTTTTGCCTTCTAATTTTTTAGCTGTAATTTGGTTTTACTGTGATCTTAAAATCATAGCAGGTAGATCTCCCTGAAGTATTATTGTTGGCATAGTAGAATTTGCTTCGTAGGATGCTAGTGGACTCCTTGGTATTGTTTTCTGAATGCCTTGAGAGAATGATTTTGTTAAATAAATTTCTAGTTGATGGATAACAAGACTGCCACTGAACTTGCATTCTTTAGGTTTGCCTGTTTGCTGAATGGGTTTGAATTCATTAACTTTAAAGATGATTCAATGAGACAATCTTAGCAGAATTAGTATTATTTACAGCTAGATTGCCTTCATCAGGGTGGTTTAAGAGTATTGCAAACTTCTTTTTCTGTGTTTCTGCATTATCACTGACTCACGGTTCACTATCAAGATCATGAAGATTGGGTGTGGCATCTTTTGGTGTGCATAGGGCAATTGCCGAATCAATAGCTTGTTCTTAGTTTATTGGTTTTTTGTGGAATAATATTTGTATGGAAGCAATCCCTACCATTCTCTATTAATATTTGTCTTGGTTCACACCCCATGACCCTAGCCTTGATATTACTTTTTACTCAATACTATTTTTTTTCTTTCTAGTGTTAGATTCATGCAGGGTAGAGTTTCTGGATATGTGCATATGCAGCTGTTCAATTAGTCAGGAATGTATAATTGTGTATCGGAGCCCCTAGAATTTTTTCTGCTCTTTACTTTCAGTCTCTGTCCCATTTGGATGTCTGATGTTGTGTTTCTGCTAATATGTCATGTGGTCTTTATAGATGTTTATGACTATATTTTGATGCATCTTGGCCCCCTGATTTGTCATTAGGAAAAAAACACAAAATGCCTCTCAATGTTGTTAAAAGTTATATACATATTTGCAGACAAACTGGAGAAGGCCTAAGGGCATTGACTCCCGTGTTAGGAGAAAGTTCAAGGGATGCACTTTGATGCCCAACATTGGTTATGGCTCAGACAAGAAGACTCGTCACTATCTTCCCAATGGGTTTAAGAAATTTGTTGTGCACAATGTCGAAGAGCTGGAGCTTCTCATGATGCACAACAGGTATAATACTATAATACATGGTGTTCAACCCTTTTCAGATTTTGTTGGTGAGCATTTTCTAGCGTTTTGCTGATTGTTGCTGCATTCTCAGGACATACTGTGCTGAGACAGCCCATGATATCTCAACGAAGAAGAGGAAGGAAATTGTCGAACGAGCAGCTCAGTTGAATGTTGTTGTTACCAACAAATTGGCTAGGTTGCGCAGCCAGGAGGACGAGTGAAGGTGGGTTCATGAATGTTGATTTTGCTTCTTTAATATAAATATTTTGTTGTTTAGGAAAGACGCACTTTTAGTCTGATGTTTAGTAGGACATTGTCTTGTTTTGTTATTCTTGAATACAAACCACTTTTATAATTTAAAGTATGGTGGATGTTTTGAGGGATTTATTCATGAAAACACTTGATTGATCGTTCGTCACTCTCAAAGTCAAATTACGGACAATTGCTAGCCACACCTTTTAGTAAAAACCATAGTTTTAAGGGGAAAAATACAATAATGGTCATATAAATTTTTTATAGTATTAGATATTCATGTTTCAAATTTATCCGTTTTGAAAAAGGAAAGCATTTCCATTGCTTTCGAAACGTCGGCCACGAGTAGATTCCCATAAGAATCCATGTTGATAAGAGCGGTAGACTTGGCGATGGTCTCCAACACAGATTAAAGACAGAATCACAAAATTAGCATAGACTTGGACCAATAGAAAGTAGTACAAGGAATGATAGTAGAAAGCAATAATTATCGAAAGAGTCCCATGAAGAAAAATAGATAACAAAGAACATAAAGAACTTCACTCAACATATGTGAGCACACATAAAAAAGCAGGCATTAAATACAACAATTAGCCGCATAATTACCATAAATACCAGCACAAAACACGGGTCTAATTTCCCCCCTAAAATTAATCCATAACAGAACCGACATTTAAAAATGTAATTAAGTAAAAAGATAACGCCTTTTGGGGCTAATTACACATTGGCAGAATATCACGTGCATAAACTACTCCGGAAAAAAACAAATTGATTTCAGATCCGGCCAAATTGTGTTGTTTACTACTATGGTGTAATTTTGGGCTTGGGAAATTGTTGAAATCCAAGATAAATCAAGTGAAAAAAGCTAAACAAATGAGATCTAACCCAGATCTGGAAATACCTTCAGGGATTGTGAGAAGCGGCTGAGAAGAGCAGTCACAAAGGCAAGGTGGGCAAGTGTTGGAGGTGCGGCTGACGGCAGCTAAGCCTTCCATGAGGTGCCAGTACAGTGGTGGACCAACAATGTAGCCGAACAAACATAAGCCCAATAAACCCAACCCCACCTTCACCGCCGCCGCCTGGTTTACCGCCATCTCTTTTTATCGGTCACTAATTTTGGGTTCACAGGGAAATCGAAATGGAGATAGATTTTGCCAAAATCTTACAGATTCGAAGACCAATTTAAGGTAAAATTCGGCAAATGTCAAATCTTCTTTGACTTGTTAGTTGTTTTCCAATTGAAATGGCTTTGACGGTCGTTATTTATTTTACAATCATTTAACAGAGCGACAAAACGCGTAGGATCATGGCGGCATGGCATGGGCCAAGGCGTGTACGGTGTATGAGGGGAGACATTGATAAGAGTAAACTACAGGTTTAGTACCCGAACTATCACTTTTATTCTGTTTTGGTCACCCAACTACTTTTATTTCTAAATCATTCCTAATGTTAAATTTGGTTTCATTTTAATCACCTACTGATAAAAATTAACGGTGATGTTGATGTGTCACCTTAAAATTATACCACATAATCGTTGATTTTTTTAAAATGCCACGTCAGTAATTTTGTTAATTTTTTAACAGCAGATGATCAAAATGAAACTAAAATAATATTGAGTATGATTTTAAAATAAAAACAATTAAGTGACCATAACAAAATAAAAGTGATAATTGGAATATTAAATGTGTAATGGATGTCCCTTGTTCCCATATGTAATGGAGTAAGGAGAGGTAAGATAGTAGGCTGCCCCCAACACCAAGTTGAGAGCAACTTCTGTAGAAGACCTCCGAATTATTAAATGTGTAGCTTACCTTAAAATAAAATATATAGGCATTATATAACAAAAACCGTCTGAACTTAAAGAATTAATCTTAAAGTAGTACCTAAATTTTCTTTTGGCCACTTTAACTCATAAATTTGACAGTCATTCTTAAAGTGATATCTATAATTAAAGTTAATTATTTTTACCTAATATACAAATTGATACTTGGATTTAATGAAATTCTCACATTAGTACCTGATGTTGATATGGTATTTTAACAACCAATCAGATTGTCATATGCGACATTTAAGGACATATTCATTTTCAACTGTCGATATTAAATCAACAACATAATTAGTTGTCGAAATACCAATTTAATACAAGTTCCGATTTAAGGGTTCTTTACAATTTTAGATATCTGATAAAAGAAATGTCCAAATATTCCAATTTGGAAAGTTCATGTACCAATTTATTTAATAAACCTTTATTGTTTAAAATGGTTAACATAACAAAATAAGGATGATTGGCAAGTCAAAGTACTAAAGTGATCTTAAAAAATGTATAGGTACCACTTTGAGTACAATTGTTAAGTTTAGGTGTCGAAGTTATTAAAAAATTAAATGTAGTTTATTATTTTTATTTTAAAATCAATATTAATATTATATTTTAGTTTCGTTTTGATCATATGCCGTTAAAAACTAGATAAAAATTTATCATTCTATATTCTGATATTTTTCGATAGTATTATGATAAAACTACTTTAGAAATATGTTATTTATCTTCTTTAAAGAATACTCATCACCGTTCAAATTTTTAAAAAAATACCTAAAATCTCTCAAATACGAAAAAATATTCCTCCTCAAAATATTGAAATATTTGATATGATCAGATCCAACTAGAACACGGGCCGACACTTAAAAGACCCAATTAAATAAAAAGCAACTCGAAGACCCAGAAGGAGAGCCAATTATGAAACGACACCGTCCCGATACGAACCGAATCTCCAGCACCCTCGGTTTGTCATTCATCTGCTCGCCATTGGAATGATAAAGCGATGCCGATGAGATCAGATATGACACAGACGAGAACTACAAGAAGATCGTAAAATCAGAAGAAGAAAAAATGGCGGTTGAAATCCCTAAGAATTTAATTGCCGAACTCCAGATTACACTTCGCAAGCAAGCCAACGTCCCTTCCTACGATCCGAACGACCCGTCGCTTCCAGCTCCACCTTCATTCTTTCACTCCACCGCCAACTCTCCCCGCCTCTGCTGCCACCACTGCAAAGCTCATCTCCTCCGGGTCTCTCAATCCCTCCTTTGCATTTTCTGCGGCAAATGCCCGACTGAAACGCCGCCCCCACCCATCAAATTTCAGTCCACTTCAGGGTACCGATGGTTCCTTCACTCCCTTAACTTAGATGGATCTGTAAGTCACTTTTTATTGTTAATTTATTTGTTTATGTTTTTATTTTATCATAAAAGAATGAGGGGTTTTAGTTGTTGTTTGGAAATTTATTAATTAAATAAAATCTGGGTGGTGTAGGAAATTGTGGGAGAGTCTTTAGACGGGAATGGAAAGCGGAAAGAACGTAGAGATGGGTCTGCTTTATCTGATATTTTAGGTTTAGAAATAAGGTGGAATGATGCCGAGCTAGAGGGATTTGATTATGGTTTAAAAAAGAGTAATCTGTTAAATTTGGCTGGAATTGATGATGATTTTTAGCTGAAAGAGAAGAAGGTTCTGCTCCAGGACCCTCTGTAGAGACATTGGCGGTAAAAAAAGGGATCCATTCTACCGGAACTAATGAGCTTGAATCTCGTGAAACCCTTAGTTCATTTGGGAATTTCCAGGGCTCTGTCTCTGGTTGGCAGGCTGACTTTCAGTCTGCCGATTCTAGAGTTGGTCATGGTGCTATTAGTTACTCATTGTTTGATCCTTTTGCGAGTTCCTCAAAAGATATTTCTTCCAACATGGACACAGTATTCGGACAAGGTACAAGCTTATTTGATGGAAAAGAATATTGCAATCAAACTTCTTTAGAATCCAAAACAACCAACTGGTTTCAAGGTGATTAGAAAAGGAATTCCATTTCAGGTGATCAAGCACAAATCAGTGCCAGCAATACCCCTGTTGAGAGAACTGACGATGTTGGTGATGATTCCTTTGATGACTGGAATGACTTTAAGGGTTTCACCATTGCACAAGATGTTGCTCAGAGTTATTCAGACCAGACTGCTGGTGGTTTGAAGTCAATGTATGAAAAAGGTGGTGATTCTTTTTCTCGATTGGGGGCTGGCTCTGAATCTACTATTTTTGAAACTCACCGTGATCATTTTACACTACCAATCTTTTGATCATTTTGCTGGTGGTTTGAAGTCAATGTATGAAAAAGGGTATCCAAATCTTTTGATCATTTTGCAGGTTCTTCTGCCGATCTTTCTACTCACATGGATGGTGTCTTTGGAACAGGAGACTTCTTTCAGGGAGCAGCAGTAGATAATACAACTTCATCCTACACTACCAATTGGTTTCAGGATGATCTATGGAGTAATTCCACCTCAAAGATGGTTCATCCTGCTGAGCAATCGGATGAGAATGTGGGTGAGAAAGATGATGGGAATTTGGTAAATACAAATAGTTCTTCTGCGAGTATAAACAAAATTCAAGATGATCAATGGCCATTAATTGGAAACAAAGCAGCTGATGGTGGAACCAACAACAAAGTTGATGATTCATTTGCAGCTTGGAATGATTTTAAAAGCTCAGGTTTCCTGAATTCTTCAGTTAGTTCTTCGAAAGAACATGCTATCCATACTACTACTGAAGTAAAGAGTAGAGACCTTTTTTCTGGATGGAACCCTGACTTCCAATCTGCTAATTCTAAAAATAATCACGTGGGATCCAAATCAACTGATCCTTTTGTGCGTTCCTCATTTGATCTTTCTGATCGCATTGATACTGTCTTTGCATCAGGAAAAGATATATTTGATGGGAAAACAAAAGATAGCTCCAATGCGTCTGATGTGAACAGCTGGTTTCTGGATGATCTATGGTCTAATTCTACCTCAAAGTTAACTCATCAGGCTGAAAACTTGGATGAAACTGGTAGCATCATGGATTCTGAAACAGCTAGTAGTGTGCATAATCCTCCCTCCATGGACGTTGATTGGTTTCCCGATGATCAATGGTTAACAGGTAACCAGAAGGCATCTGATATAAAATCTATTGATGAATCAGATAATTCATTTGGTGATTGGTTCGACTTCAAAAGCTCAACTACTAAGCAAGATTCTCTTAGTAATTCTTCGAAACAAGCTGTTAGAACTGATAATCAGACCATTGATGATAATAACGTCTTGTCTGCTGCCTGGAATGATTTTGCTAGCTCAACTAGTGTGAAAGATGCCTTAAGTATGTCTGTGAAACAAAATGTCCATCAAGAAAAGCCTTCCGTTGAAACTTCAGGAGTACAGTTGTTCAGTACGGATAACAATTCAAGCAATAACAAGTTTGGTGGTTTATCTCAACGTGATTTCTTTTCAGGGGCATTCAGCAATCAGAATGGCTCAACTGACGCTAATATTTTCTGGCCTGAAGCTCTTCTTTCAGACAGGTGTGGACGCTTATTCTGTCATTTTACTTCCAACAAAACTGAAATTTTAATATACACACACACACATATATTGCAATTTGGTTCTAGCATATTCGACATCATTATGGTAATCAGTACAGTGTTAAGTTTTTACTCAATTATTTTATTTGTTATTGAGAATACTTGAGGGTATATTTTGGGAAAGAACTAATTATAGACAAAACAGGTAGAGCTCCAGAGAGGAACTAGAATGATTCTTTTCACAAAGCCTAACTAGAAATAGACCTAATTTTTCACAGCTTTTTTATTAATGCCCGTCTTTTCTTAAGTTTCAATTTTCCATATTTTTGTCCGATACATATTTAGACAAAGGTACAGGGTCATGATTCTCCCGTGTAAAGCACAATGTTGTTTCTGATGCTTGTCTTGTGGGTGCACTCGAGAGAGAATCTGAGGAGAAATTTCTCATATTTGCTTTCCACATGTTTCAGGATGGCTGATGCGAATGTAAGAGGCAGTAATGAAGCTGAAGTTGCAAAAGATGTTGGTCTCTCTAATGCAACAACACGTTCAAAAAGTGATGAAATAGAGAAATTTATGTCACAAATGAATGATCTATCATTTATATTAGAAAGTAATCTCTCAATACCTGCAAAAGTAGATGAATATAATTAACATTCTAATGGCCGGGAGCCATTTTAACCCCTCTTCGAGTTTTTATTATATTATTGGTTCTTGCTCTGGTTTGCTCCACATTTTTGAATTATCTCCTATATCCTATTCTGGACGTTTGTCTTCTTCCTTAAATATTTAGTTGGATATAGAGGTGAGTAAAATTTGACTTGTTTTCTTTTTAATTTTGAATTATTTGATTTGAGTTGTGATTAGAATTCATGGATTGGATTTCGCGTTCGAATTGAGTTTATTTAAGTTTGAATAATCTAATTTGATTGTTTTGTTTCTTCGATTATTCCTTCGTTGCAAGTTTGTTCGTTGATTAAATTTGAACTACATGTCTCATTATTATCATAGAATATGTCAGCGGTAAAAATCCTGAGTTAGGCCTAAATTTAACTTGGGCTCAAACAAAGGTTATTCACCAAAACATGGCCCAGTTTTAGCCCAAACCCAATCTGAGCATCCCAAACTCAAACCTAACTTGGGGCCCAAATCTTGACCGGAAACCTTTCTACCGAACAGGACTCTAATTTAATCCACAACATAAATTTGACTGGAAAATCCATCTCGATCATCACTCCCACGGTAGAGACACTTTCCATCAATCTCCTATTCGTCATCTTCTCTCAAAAACAGTTGTACCAAATTTGAAACACTCCAACAATCGCCTTTATCTTCCATCAAACGTCGTGCCTTGATTTCCATTATCTCTAATCTGATCTCATCGTTAAAACATCAGCAATCTCCCCTTATTTAAAACCCGACATGACATCCAAAACCTTAAAATAGCCAATCAAAACCCTTACATTCCCCATATCAAAGAAACCCTAAAATGGATCAGTAGACCCTAAAAGATTGTCTAAAATAACCCATAAACAGAACTGTCAAAAATTGAGAATGCAAAAAAAAAAAAAAAAAACCGACGAAATAAACTCAAAACAACCTTACCTTTCATCCGCAACTATTGTCGACAATCAGATTCATTTTTCAGATCTGATCTGAGAGGCAGAATGCATTAAAACAATATATATATATATATATATGAAAACCAGGAAGATCTGATGATGAATGAGCGAGATAGAAGAAAAAAGAATTCGAAACAATTCAACAATAAATCTACGAGTTTTGATTTTTTTTTAGGTGAATTGAACGTCGAAAATGTGCTCAAGGTCCCGAAAGCTAGTTTTTTTTTTTAGTCAAATGAATGCCGGAGGAGACAACTAATCGACGATGATCGATAATGTGTAAATGTAGGAGTGACAGATATATAATGTGTAATTGAATCCGATGATGACAAATGACTAAATCTCTTGTACCCTCGGTTTATATAGGAGTATCGATGCCCAAATATAATTATCAATACCATGAATTAATATGGATTAACTTAATGTTTCAAACCTCATTTTAGCATCAATATCCACATATGAGTATCGATATCATTATAATAGTATTAATACTCATTTAGGAGTATCTATATCATGCTTATTTTTCAAGAATTTCCAATGTCAAGTTGGTGTTGATATATAAGGGTGGTATCAATACCTATGTGTCTTCATTGATAAAAATAAATGATTTTCTTTAACTTTAAATTATTCATTTTGGTAATTATACTCATTTTAGTTCCTTGAACGTGAAGACCATGATAATATCAATTGAGGTATTAGTTTCTAAAACACACTAGTTTCTGTTATTTAGAAGATCGATATCAATACTCAAAAAAGATTTTCGATACTTACAAACCTATGTCTTTGAATTGTTAGTACATTAATGATTAATCTATACGGTTAATTGTTCGTGGGTATGATGCTGAGTGAAGCTAGGTTGTGATGAGGGTCGGCTGAGATAGAGAAATTAAAGGGTTTTGTCACACTTTGATTTAGAGGTTAAATTTTTTTTAATTTTAAAAGTGGGACTAAATTGGTATCTTTGTAAAATTTTGGTGCTTGGTTGTAAGTCTACAAATTTTGTAGCACTTATTCTATAACTAATCTAAGGGTTTGTGTATTTGAATACCCATTACTTTTCTTTTCCTTTCCCCCCTTTTCTCACGTTTAACGGCCACCAACTGCACCCATTTTCTATTTTTCCTATCGTCGATTTTATGTTGTTTCATCAATGTTTAGGCCGTTACGAGTCTCACTGTCGGCGTCACTTGACTCGTCTCTTCATTACAATTCGTATGATGCCCTCGAATCCTCCATCGCCATCGTCGTTAACGATCGAGAATGAGGTATTGTTTTGAGTTTTGTGAAAAATCCCATTTTCGTTGTCCTCCACCTCAAACTAGCCTCGATAAGGGACTCCCTATACTTTAAAACGTAAATCTATAAATTTTGATATGAATCCGAACATCAGAGGACGGTCCACACGCCGTCGTCGCTCGTTTGAAATTGTTTTCCTACAAAGTAGCCAAACTGGTTTAAAGGTTTGAACCACTCTGACTGAACTGGTCCTTAATCGATTTGACCGAACCGGTCTTGAACCGTTAACCGGACTGAACTCGAACCCGAACTACTAACATGTCGGCTTTGACCAACTTTTACCATTGACTTTTTCTATTAACCTTTGCTCTTATGTTTTACGATGTCTTTGAATCTGTTTTGCGGTCCTTTTTATTAAATTCATACCCAAAAGTCTCGTTTTCATCTTTCTTTGCTTAATGTTACATTTATGTTAAGTAAATTCTGAAATTTATATTCTTACTCTATGATATTATGTTATGAAGGTGATCAAAAGTCTTCCCATTGCTCTCCAATAGATCCAGAGTACCTCCGCACAACTCAGCTCGATTTCTCACATTCGTCTTGAGATAAACTGGAGTGTTGTTAAATGAATTACTAGTTGTTTTCGTTTAAGTATGTATTATTTTAGTACTCATATAGTTCTATATTATTATAATTTTAGGTTTACATTATTTAGGAGCTAGTACTATCGACCATGGAAAACGTAGGGCTTAGTTAGTATCAATTAGATGATCTAGATGTGTTCCTTGACCTGTACTGTATGTTTGATTTTTCATGCCATGAGCTATTTTTTCTAATTATTTATATATATTGCACTAGCATATCTTTTTTTTATTATTAATGATCTATTATGCATGATATGCTATTTGGAATAAATTTTTGTATTGAGAGTTGTGATTATTTACGGAAATCTCAGATTCTTCTTCGGAGGATAACGTCTTCATCTTGATTTCAATTTCTTTTGTTTAGGTTACACTTCAGAGGATAACGTCCTCTTCCTAATTTCTGTTTTTTGTTTAGGTTACTCTTCAGAGAGTAAAGTCCCTATCCTGTTAGTCCGGAGCGAAAGGTAAGGTTATCAATATATGTTGTGATATTTTGATGGTAAAATATCTAATTTTTATGTTGTTTATTATATCATGTTTGAATTATCTACATTATAATATTATTAATTGTTTGTACTTAGAGGACACATTGAGCTTTATAGCTCATTCTGTTTGTCTTTTATTTTCATATTATCTAGGTGTATGATAAGTTTGACTATCAGAGGTGTAGTCTCAATTTTATATTGTATGAGATTAAATATTTATTTTTAAACTCCTTATAATGGTGGCATGTGTTTATTTTTGATATTATATTTTATAAATATTTTAAAAAACGGGTTATCAACTTTCGTTGTTCACTTCTCTTACCATGATTTGATTGTAACTTTCAGACCTAGTATAAGGGATTATACCTTCAGTAACCCCTCATAATTTCTAATGACTACAATATATAGCTCAATTAAATGAATCACGTTTCAGTTCCAACCCTTTTCACTTTCTGCGTATGTAATAAACTTTTATTACTTTTCCTTTTGGTTTTCCTTTTAAACCCGAGTTGTCTTTTAGATCAAGTTTTCTACGTTTTCTTCCCCATAATCTTTTACGTTTTTTATCTGTTTCCTGCATCTAAGTAAAAATTAATCTGATTAAGTTAAATAAGATATTAGTAGTAGTAATATTTTTTTTAAAAATAAAATCAAGATTATTACATTGAAATTTTAAATTTTAAATTTTAAATTTTGAATAAATCAGAACAATTTTGTACGAATTGATCTTTTAATTTTTAATCCTATCATTTAAAATCAAATGAATTTCCTAATAAATCTGAAATTTTAAATTTTACCTTAGCTTTATAATTAAAACTATTTAATAAAAAAAATAAAATTTTGCATTACAATTAAATGAATAATGAGGTAACAAATAGTAAATATACATTTCCATAATATGTTGGGTGAGTGGAGAGGAGGACCAAAGTCCAAAAAGGGCCCCTATTTTTGACTTACGCTTCAAATAATGCGGCCAAGTCATTTCATTATTTCTCCCTTTGTTTCAACTTGTAATGGGATGCAGCCATTATGCTTAATAGTTACGTCTTCTAGATTTTTACAACATTTTAATTAGAGGAAATCAATTTGAAAAAACAATATCGATGTATATATTTTAAACTTTTCAAATAAATCCATTTTTTCTTGAACATTAATTAAAAAACATGAGCATTAATCTTGAGAGAGAGCAACTGGGGATGAACGCAATGAATTCGGTTCTCCATTCCATTTCTCTTCTCAATATGAAAAGGAAACAAGGCAAGGCTGCTGAGTCAATCCGTTAGCACCGGTCCAACCGAATCCTACTAGTAAAGTCAAAATTCAACAAGTATCCTAACAAGTGGGGCCCTGTTCAAACGCTCATCCAGCATCTTTGAGTTGACTCGGATACCTTTTTGTCCACTCATACATCATGTGGGCTCCACCTGTTTGCCATCTGTCTCCTTTGACCAGATTTGGTAGTAAGTGATTTTGCCGAACCGCAAAGTTACTTCCCATGCTGAAAAACATGATAGAAAGAGAGCCAAATGCAAATATAAGCATGCCATATTTATTATACTATAAATGAAAATGGTGTTCACATGAAAGTACATAAATGTATATCAAAATATATAAAAAAGTATTCAATTCATAATATTTATCTCAGATAAATTTCTGAATTTTGATTTGTTTTTCAGTTTATATATTAAAAATCTTAATTATGTGAATAAACTTTTAGTTTTATTTTTATAATATGAATAAAATGGATAAGATTTTTAAAACTGACTAACCAGGTGGAATTAATTTATTTTTTAAGATCCGTCCAATGAGCTTAAATTTTAATTTATTTTTTTAAAAGTTCAGAATAAATAATCATATAGCAAAAAAGAAAAAGAAAAGACTAATGTTTAATGCTTAACAAATTACTACTACTGTTTGGTCTTCTTCTATAGTCTCAACGCTCTTTTAATTGCCGAGTCGTTTGCTCCGTTCAAAGACTCTCTTTCTTCTTCTTCTTCTTCTTCATCAATGGCGAAAGCCAGTGGACTCTCCATTGATTTGGATCCTGTCACTTTCTCTCTTCACAAACCAATTGTCCTCAATTCTTTCCCCGAAGATACCACTAAAGACAACACCAACATCGTTATCATCAACAAATCTGACGACCAAATCATGTTTCCTACTACTCCCTGTATCATGAACCATCATGTTACAGTAGCAACCATGTCTCCTCCATTCGCCGTTGATCACTTCCCCGTTAAACTAAACCGTTCTTTGTTACCTTCTGATGATAATAAATGGAGGGTCGTTGCCGAAAGGGATTTTTTCGCTGAAAACAATCATCGTAAACTTATCGTCGATGATGCCGATTCTGTGCATACCTCCGATGCCGACATTAAAGGCTCCACCGATCGAACTGACCTCGAGCTTAATATCGACGTTGGTTAATTATGCTCCCTTCGTTTCTTTTAAAAAGTTTTGTTTCCGATGGATAGAATTGATGAATCTTGTTTCTTGATTTTCAGATTGGTTTGAATCTGTTAACTACGAACACCAGTAGAGTTCCATCCACAGTGGAATATAACGGGATATCTCCCGCCATGGAAGATAAAAAAGCTAGTGTTGAGGTGATTATTTGATCTTTTTATGTGATTCTGGAGGTGCCAAAACATGTTGCATAATACTGTGCGATTGCTTCTTGTTTTTTTCAGGTAGCTGCTTTACAAGTTAAGTTGGAACGAATGAAAGCTGAGAATCAACGGTTAAGGGAGATGTTGATTCAGGTAACTAAGAACTACAACACGATGAAAATTCATATGGGTTCCATGATGCAGCACCATGGTGGAAAAGCTGAAAAAATTGACGAAGACCGAATGATTGAGGAAAAAGTAGAACAAAGGAAACGTAAAGGAAGACAAATAGTGCCGAGACGGTTCATGGATCTTGGTCTAGCTGCTGCCGATTCCGATCAGCCGTCGTCTTCTTCATCGGAAGGCAAGAGCCACCATGAGGATAGTTTGGATGCTGTTAATAAGGTTCTCAGGTTCAACGTTGATCAAACTGAGGCCATCATGAAGAACGCTCGAGTTTCGGTTGGAGCTAGATCAGAGTCTCCCATGGTATGTAACTCGATTGAAAATATTCTTTTTTTTTTTTTACCTTTGAGTTTAAATTAGAGTTCGTTGTTAATTTGGGTTATTGTTATTATTTTGTCTTGAAAAGATTACAGATGGATGTCAATGGAGGAAGTACGGACAGAAAATGGCCAAGGGAAGTCCATGTCCTCGAGCGTATTATCGATGTACAATGGCTACTGGTTGCCCTGTCAGAAAACAGGTACCAAATCAGAGATCGAAAATGAATGAAAAAATCTGTGGAGATTTAACTTGATTGCCGTTGAATATTAATGTTGCAGGTACAAAGATGTGCAGAAGATCGAACAATGCTCATCACCACATATGAAGGCAATCACAACCACTTTTTGCCTCCGACGGCAATGGAGATGGCATCTACGACATCATCGGCGGCACGAATGCTGCTATCGGGTTCAATGTCCAGTACAGATGGACTAATGAACTCGAACACAACAACTCTCCTGCGTTGTTCCTCCAGCATGGGTACTATATCAGCTTCACCTCCATTCCCCACTGTTACCCTGGACCTTACACAGGCCCCAAGTCCTTCACAGTTCTCAGGCCAAGTCCATGTCCCATTTCCGATCACCCCACTACCACACAACCTCAATTCCCCGTCCACGGCGGCTGCGGCATTGTTGCAACAGGGCAAAGAAAATTCACTGGCCTACACCGTAAATGCGGCCACCGCTGCCATTGCAACGGATACGAACTTCACGGCAGCTCTAGCCGCCGCTATCACCACTATCATTGGGAGTTCTCAATCTCAGCCCAACAATTGACCTATTAATAATGGTATGAACCTCACCAAAAGCTGTGGCAATGTCATTGCCACTAATGCTACCAACAGCGTCGACAACGATGAAATGAATCAATTCCAGTTTTGTTGCAATTTAGATGAAACTAAAATCACCTTCGATTCTTTCCCTTTTTCTTTCTCGGAGGAAGAAGGCATGCACTTTTTGTTAAGGAAGAAACTGAAAGTTATACATTTATATGTAGCCATTTTTGTTTTTATATGGTGGGCCGGTGGGGGAATTGTATTCTTTCCTAAAATTTATTATTTGTTCCAGCTTGAATATGAATGCAAAACAAAAATATCTAAAAATTAGAAAACAATAAAATATTGTTTCCACTAAAAACATATTTCATAAACAAAAACTAATTTAATGAATTGGTCCAAGTTTAAATCTATGTAATCACAAAAACATATTTTTTAACAATTTGTTACCCTACTTTAAATTCATATAAATGTTACAATTTTCTTTATTTTATTTATCACGCTACTTATTTAAAAATAAGTAATCAAATATGTTTTCATATTTTATATTATTGAAAATAAATTTTGTTTTTATTTACTAAACATCTTTTAATTTTTAAAAAAATAGAAAATAAAAGTTATTTAAAAAAATTAAAAACCTAAAATATTTGTAGAAACCTAATATTTCTTGCTAATATACTAATTATTATTGTTTGGATGGCTCTAGAATGGCAACAGCTTTCATACTTTGTCATCTTCGTTAATGGAGTAAGGGGAGGGATTTAATATCTGTAAAAGAAACATAATTGAGACTGAAAATATTACCAGATTTATACACGATAAATGTTATTAATGGACAATTATTTGGTGTATTATCAATAAAAAATAAGTTTTTTTACATGTGGTATAATCACAGATGTTTTTATAGTAAATTATACACATGCTTAAAGACTATTATACAACAAATTTTAGGATGCTTAGCTAAATTAATCAGAAATTATTTTAATATTTTTAATTACTTATAATAATATTAATATATTTAATTTACTTTAAGTGTAAGTAAAATTTTATTACCATTAAATTTTTTCAATCCAAAGTTACATTATTTATTTGTAGTTTACTTAAAGTCCCCCCCCCTTAATTTTTGATATCAAAGTAGTCTATAAATGGTCAAAATTTTTGATAAAATTACTAATAGTTATTGACGATGGATTTTGGAGTTTCAATTCTTTTTATTCAATAGAGGATGTTTTTGTTAAAATTATCAAGACAACTTTAGTAATTATTTAAAATAATTAATTTTTCAATATATATATATTTCTTATTATTACATGAAAAGTGAAAAGTAGATGAGGAAAATCAGACCTCGACTGGCTCTCAGTCACATTGGAGGAGGTACGGACAAATCTAAATGAATATAATTGATTATGATTTATGCATGCATGTGATTCTTTTACATCTTTCCCTTTCTTGAAATTAAATAAGGGTAAATTATATAAATAATCATTAATATTTGAATAAATTTTTTACTTATAGATATTTAAAAAGTAACAATTTAATTATAGACCATATCGATTTATAACAAATCAATTATTTATTATTAACAGTTGTTACTGAGATAATAACATATTGATGTAATTAATTAGTATGGTCAAACAGTGACATGTCAATCGATCTAATGTGTCAAATTAACACTTTCGTTATCCCAACAGTTAACAGTGAGTGATTAATTTTTTAGAAATTAATAATATCAGTGAATAGATCATTATTTTTAAAATATTAACGAGAAAAAGAGAAATTTACTCTAACATCACTAACCATTTAATGAATAATTTCCTTGAGAAAGCTGGAAACCGGCAAAGTTAAACCGAAAACAAGCTTACCTTTGAAATAGAAAATAGAAAGAAACAACATCGTACTACATTAATCTCTCATGGATAATCAACATCTATTAAAAGATCTAACATAAAAAACTTCGACATGTCTTAATGATGAGAATCAAATCACTTCTGCATCAACCAGCAAAACACCAGAGATTATTAAAAACAAATAACATGACATGAGACATTTGTTATATTTGTTTTGTCGGAAAAACCTGTTTCAGTTTTCATCAGTGCCGGACACTGGAAACCCGAAGGTGGAGTCTTGCCGCAATCGATGAGGAGCTGAAGAGCGATGGGTAATATAATATTGATATCCAAATGCTTGGCCCTGATCGTGGTGCAAAGACATATCGCGGCGTCCAAGTCCAGCAGCCCTTGAAGCACGGGGCAGCACGTGGACTTCGCGCTGCTGCCTATGCCGATGAACACCAGACCACCTAACACGTCCACACATGCGCCTAGCTTAAGCGTGTCGATGGGGCGTGTTTGTTGCGCCGAAGGGCACGGATATGGCACGGGTGGCGGAGGCGGAGGACATGGTGTCTCCACCGGGGGTAGCTTCACGACAAGAGGTGATGGAGGAGGCACAGTTGGTGGCTTCACGATTGGAGGTGTTGGTGGATTCACTATTGGGGACCGTAGGCTTTGGAGGCACAAATGGTGGTGATATGACCGGCGGTATTGGATAATAAGGTGTTGGAGGTTTAACCACCGGAGGTTTGGGTACGTAAGGTGGAGGCTTTACGACCGGAGGTTTGGGTACGTAGGGAGGCTTTACGACCGGAGGCTTAGGTGGCTTGGGAGGATGGGGTGGATGTTTAGGTGGTTTTGGATGATAGGGCGGGTTAACAACCGGAGGTTTCGGCGGTTTGGGAAGATGCGGTGGATGTTTAGATGGTTTAGGATGATATGGAGGGCCGGAGGTTTCGGTTGTTTGGGAGGATGCGGTGGATGTTTGGGCGGTTTAGGGTGAAACGGAGGTTTCACAATGGGAGGATGTTTGGGGGGATACTTAGGCGCCGGAGGGCATTTGGGCGGCGGAGTTGGGCGTTAAGGACATTCAGGGCAACCAAGAGAAGCAAGCAAACTTCCTATGTTCTAAAGCAACACAATGAAATTAGCTAAGTTAAGCCTCCCCATCATATCTCTCTGCTTAGGGAGTGGGTTTGCATTACTCTTCGAATGAAACCATGCACATTTTATAACATAATATGATGCAAATAACAGACAAAAAGGAAAGCAGCGAAATCAATTAGCAAATGTCGTTTTCCTGTTAATTTATTACAGCATTCGGCATCATTCATTGACCTTTTGTTTTTTGCTTTCCATATGCATAGTTTGGGATTTTAATATTATTAACCCTGAAATGCAAATTATTGAGAGATGGATTTATTTTCGAAGTTCGAAGGACTAAAGATGATGAAGAAATCAAAAGCAGCGTGCATGATTGACGACAATTTTAACTTGTGCTCTGTTTAACCAGTGAGTGGATACTTGGCTTAAAAGGAATGCCCTGCTTGCATGTGACCATTCCATTTTCTTTAATATTTAACTTTTGCTACTTGACAAACCTCACCCTACATTTGGGTTTGGAGGAATATGCTCGTACTTGGCATGAATAACTCTTAATTCTTAATTAGTTTTTTTAACGTTACAGTTCAAGTTTTAACCCCAGTCCAAATTAGTTTTAGAATCGATTATTGAGTGTTTTATTGCAAATGAAACTTAATTAAATTTTACTAGTTTGATTCATATTTCAAGTCAAACTTAAAATCTAAAAGTGATAAATGTTGATGATGTTTCTTTACCAGGAGTGGAAGAGTGATGGAGTTGAAAAGGATAAAGAGGAGTGTCCCAGTTTTCCTATGGGAGCTCTGTTATACTTATATATTTCATATATGTGAGAGCCACGTAACTATGTAAATGAGGAGGTGTTGCGCTTAATGGGTTGACTATGAATCATTGTAGAACTAGCCTGATAATCCGTTGGGTTATCAAAGTTTTAGTTAGTGAGTCACTGCAGAACAGTCTGATGTTTACTGTAGGATATAATACAGTAACAGAACTACTTGTTATTGGGTGGAATCCCTCCGGGTTGGCGGAGGACACAACACTTGTTTCCCTTTAATCGGATGAGTGTTATAAAGTGTACGATTCACTATTGATCTTGCAGTAACCTTTGTGAAGTGGGAAATAGTATCTTGTCGTTTCCTTTACCGAATTGCCCTTACTTTTGAAAAGCAGGCAAGTGTCTCAAGACAGTTGGCCCATCTATTATGTTTTACTATGTTGTTTAATTAAAAAAAAAAAAGAGAGAAAACAACTTAGTTGACTCGCAAGAAATCTTTGAACCTCTCGTCATATAACTTATTGTTCTATATTTTAATGTGCTTTGTCGAGAATTTTATTGTAAATTTCTTAAATTTTCACTTAACTTGTAGAATCTTTCGTGTGGTTGCGAGGAGTTCATTTATATTTGGGAATGTCCAGCTTTGCATGTATGAATTATTTCTTTTTATTACAAGAAATACATGTTTTTGAGGAAGGTTTTGAAAGCTGGAAACCTACAAGTTTTATACAGAAAGGCCATATTAAGCTGTTTCAATAGGTTTTATGACGATGTCGATATTGGATGTTGCGAGAAGCTTCCCAAAAGCCATTTACGCCATTGCCATTCAATTACTTCACATAAAGATATATATATACACGCGAGGGATAAGGTGTGTTGTCTTCTAAATTGGTCTTCAATCAGTAGGTATATATATATATATATTGAACAATATATGTATAAAATTATCAACATAAAATAAATTTAAATAAAATCAGAAAAATATAAAAATTGAGTTGGGTGACCGTCTTCTATACTAATTTAAAGTCGAAAATGGTAGCGAGAGCCGAATCCTGAATAAGACCACTAAAGCATGTGGGTAAGATACGTACAAATTACACAGAAAACTCAACTTAAGCAAATTACTCTCGCTAATGCCTTTAGTTTTATACGTATATATAGTAATAATCACAATGCATTGATTTATCCGTATCAAGCAGTCTTACTCTTATTATTTGCCTAAAAGTATCCCAGAATGAATGCCCCGCCATGTTGAAAATAGGTGGAGTAGGTTAAATTAATTTGTCAAAAGATGGATGGTGATAATATGTTTCTGGTACAATGGAATGAAGGATAGAGTAACCCCACCATATCCCTTTGTCAAATCACCTGACTCGATGTAAGTTTGTCTTCAATAAGGTGAAGATCTCAGATATAAATTTTCAAAATGTGAATTACCCAATTCAGTCCCTAAGCGTATCATCAATTTAATTGAGTATTGAATACAAATATAATTTTCTGTCCTCAGAATATAATATCACATAAAACATAAATTATATAATACATCCTACACTGTAAACTCTTTCAGGTTCATAGAATCCCATCTATCAAAAGTGTTGGTTCAGACCCCCTTGGATCACTTGTAGCTGAACTGGCATTTATCGAAACCTGTCAAATTTGCATTACAAAAGTCGTTAAGTACTAACATTTTTGTCTGCTTATCGGAAAAAAAGAACATAAAAAAGAGAGGACTTACTAGGATCGACAGTAACAAGCATGGCAGTGCCTCCGAAGTTGCAAGTGCCACCATGCCCCTTAGTGTTCTGCCAGTAGCTGTTGAAAGCATACGAAGCATGGGAAATCAATGTGTTGGGTTGGAAACAAGGCTGGTTGGGTTGAATCGATTTGCAATCCGCACCAGACCCGCATGCATAATCCATGGCCACTTGGGTTATTGAATCGGGCACCGTCGGCTTAGCGACACACCAAACACCACCACCGGATCGTGATCCTTTAGGCGGGGGGGCGAAAGTTGAAGGTGGGTTCAGCATTGGGGGTGCGTAAATGGGTTGGCCCGGTGCATTATTAGGAGATCTTGGGTCATGTTTTGGTGGGCTAGGTTGATGTTGAGGGGGGCTTGGGAACATACTAGGTGGACTTATTCCGTGTTCAGGAGGAATTGCCGGTGAGCTATAACTGTAACTAGGCGGTGGTGGTGGCCCGTAGCTCATCGGATACGACGGAGGGTTGGAGGTTGTCGGTGGGGTAAAGAGAGGAGAGCGGTCAGGCTGAGGAAGTGGTGAGAGTGAGTCAAAAGGAGGGAGATAGAAAGGTGAGTTGAGGGTATAGGGATCTGCATTGGAGACGACATTGTTGGTTAATTTCAGCTTGTTAATGAACGAGGTAATGGCACTTTGATGGAGATTTAAGCCTTTCTGCTTCCACATATTAACCATAAACCTGGCATCTAATACCATAAACAAAGACAAAAGAAACTGATTTTCAAAAACAAAGCACCTAGAAGAACATATGTATACATATAATCACAAGGAATTTACGTACCGCAAGGAGTGAAGAGAATGGAGGCTATAATGGAAATGAAGATGACCGAACTGAGCAATTTAAAACAGTGTTGGATTGACTCCATGGCTGTAACTAGAACTTGGTAGAGCACTAACAGAGATGAGCTACTCTTTGGGGATGGTGTATAAATATAGGGAGAATAGAGGCCAATGGATGAACTATCGGCATTAGGGGTTAGTAAAGAAGATTCAAAGGTAATGGTTGATGTAATAAATGGAGAGAAATTTCCTTTTAAGTGGTTAGAACATATCCTTGCTTGGGAATGGAGGAAAATAGGGGGACAAAATTAATAGAGGTTTTGCACTTTTTGTTTTGCTTGATTTCTACTCAAAGTCAAAGTACATTTGTTTGATCTAGAATCCAATTAAACATGAAAAGATCTCAATGTTTTTGAGCAAACACTGCCATTTATATCCTCCTTAATTTTTCTAGAGATTTTTTCTGTTTTATCCAAAGCTTTTGGGAAGACATTGATGTTATGGTGATTTAACATGCAGGAGAATATCAATTACTGCCATTGGCTGATTGTTAAGGCGCCGGTTTGCATTTGTAGCCATGACAATACTAAAGTCCTTTGGAACTATAATTTAGGATTGGCTGAATTTAACAGTGCTTGTGTTTGGCCGGAGTTGAAAATTGCCACACAAAAAACACTAACGCCTAAATTTATCAACCAATCAGGATGAAAATCTCCGTCCAAATTCCATTTAGAAGTAAAACAACAAAGCAATTAACCATCATCAACTTATAAGCAAATTAAACAACTTACCAACGTTTCCATAATGACAATAGCACAAGAGCAGTTGCAATAAACTTCTCAATATAACAAAAATACTCGAAATAAAAACTACTGTCGTAATACCACAAAGTTTGCTAAAACCAACTTGCTTCAATTGACAATACGAGAAACAAAAACTAAAGTCTTTTAGAAAGCCAAAATGTAAGACACAACACTCGAATGAGCAATCTCACTTCTTATCTTCTTTCTCAGCCTCAGCAGCCTTCTTCAACCTAGCACCAATATGACGCTCATTCATCCGTTCAACACGGAGCTTGTTATATGCCTTAAACGACTTCATTTCCTCGGTGACCTTCACGAGCTCAACAGAAGGCTTCTCAAGTGAAATAGGCATGTATGGTACTTGGACTTGAGTTGCAGTTGCAAGCTCCTCAGCAGTAGAATCACCAGTCTATTGAAATGAGAAACAAATGAATATTAAAAATGCAAAACAAGAATGCAGATATAATGTTTTAATCTCCACAAATAAGGCCTTATAAAATAACCTTAAACTTGCGAGCACGTCTTGGAAAGACGACAAGCTTGGCCTTGTAGGTCTTAAGCCTCTGTACATTAGCCTGAAGACCTTCAAGTGATCTGTTATTACGGCGATGGTCAACAGCAATACCAATGGTTGGCGCAAGTTTTTTTGAAATACCAGCAGCCTGGTCAGAGAATTATGTGAGTTCTCAATATACGCACATCCAAACTAAATCAAGGTAGGAGTAGGAATTCAACCAGTGATTTAAATAGTGGTCGGCTATCGGAATAGCCATTATATAGCGGTAATGGTGTCGTCCGAAACTGTTATTGCAGTACAGCAATACCAGCAATGACCGCAATCATGATAAACACAATGCAATGCAACCAAAAATGCAGCCGAAAAGTAATTTAAATCCATGAATTCAATATTATAAAACACATCCTCTATTCAATTTATCTACACACTTAACAAGGCACCAATTCAATTCATCATTCCGTTTTTCACTTAATCTTAAACTTGATTGTCACAAGGGAATCAGTAATGTATACACTTGTTCACTTAATCGCAAACAGAGCACTAAGATACTTATTAAATAAATTGAAATGAATCTTAGCAGATAAAATGAAATTCATCAGAAATCTAATTCACAAATAGAGAAACTACACTTCAAAGATCAAATCCTTTTTAAGCATAAACCTAAGATCGTACGAAGATATAGAGAAACTAGAACAGCAGACCTTAAGCTCTTCAAGTGTGAAACCCTTGCCAGCTCTCAACTTCATGTTGTACTTCAAAGTCTGGCCATGGACAATGGGGCGAAGTGGTCCAGCCGTTGGCCTTGGAAAGATCCTCACCGCCTTTTTTTGTCTTGCTACAAAATCCCAAATCACAATTAGCAAACATTAATTGCACTCAAATAAACATGCATCAATCTTTTAACGGAAAAGCAAAAAAATATGATTAAAAAAAATCACCAATTCTTCTTCTATTCTTTCGTGCTGGTTGATTGAACCAAGTTTTGACATAGTTCTGCCAGTGCTTCTTAAAGTGCCCATTTGGCACAACATTGTTATGCTTCACCATGACTTACCTGTTCAAAAAAATTGAAAAAAATACCAAATAATTGTAAATATATGAAATGGAAAAGAATGCATGAGATGAAAGCAGGTGAGCAACTCACCTTCGGCTGGGAGAGATGAAAGGCGCAAAGAAAAGAGATGAAACCCTAGGCCCTTTTTTAGGGTCTTGGTTCATATATTTATACTCATTAGACGGCCTAAACATCATCGGACGGTTGTTAAAGAACTGGGCTCAAAGCGTTTGAGATTTGAGAAAATGAAATTGGATATCAAAACTTAAATGGCCCGATAGTTTTGGAGTCTTAAAACTAGTCGAGCTGCTTTCGAATCAAAATAAAAATTAATTAATTCCTTAAAAAGTAAAATAAGAGATAATATGTATTAATATACATTATCAAAAATAAAAAAATTACACTTTTTTAATATTTATTATATCCTTCTATTTTCAATTTAAATTTTAAAAGCATCAACGTTCATATTTTTCAATGGACAATGTTGGAACAGCCCAAATATATTTGCTTCAACCAAGCCTTAAGTTGAAAAACAAAGAAGAACGGACAGATGGCATGCCAAGGCTGATTTGGAGCACAAAACATAATATATGGACTGTTGAGATACTTTCAAATATAATATATGGATTAAAATGTTTTTTTATTAGTATGAGTTATTATAAGATATTATATATTAAGGTTATTTAGATGATTAATTCGATCGTTGATTAAATTAAATTAATTAAAATTGAATTAATTTATTTTTTAATAGTTAATCGGATTGAATTAATCAAAATTTTTATAAGTTTTTTAGTCAGATTAATTTGAATTTAATATATATATTTTTTCATTTGACTTAAAATTTAATTAGATCTTATAAGTTCTATTAAGTTTAGTATAGTTAAAAAATAATTGGGTCTTAATTCTTAATGAATTTGAGCTTAAAACACACACAAATATATATATATAATTTTTAATATTTTTGATTAATTCATTTAATTAACATACCTCGAATCTAATTAACCGAAAATTGAATTTTGAGAATTTTTGTAACCGTTAATCAATATAATATTAAATTAACCGAACTAAATTTTGATTCGCTCCATTAAAATTGAACAAAGAACGCTCCTAATATTTGTCATAACCTTCCTTAACCATTAAAAACATATACACTTGTTACCAGCTACGAACCTATAGCCCTGCGAACCCCTAATATACAAACATAAAATTAGGGTCGTGTAAAAATTCAGATATTCGGTCTATTTTCTTATTTTCAGATAATTTAGATGGGATATCCGAAAAAATTTCAAATAATCAAATCGAATACGGATCGGATATGTTCCAATTTAAGAATATCCGAAAATCCGAAGAAGTTGGGCTTTTAGTTTTTAGAAACTTTTTAGCTCGATAAATGAGTAACCCACTAACTCATTAATACTATAACTCACTAAAAATTAGGATATTTAATTATTTATTGTGGGTGAGTAATTAAATATACATATAAAATATATTAGAGATAACGAATAAGTTACATTAAATCAAAAAAATTAAAATTAACTTTTTTGTTAATTAAATTTGATATTTGAATCCGTATCCATATATCATATCCGAAAAATTGAATATCTAAAAATTTATTTTTTTAATCGGATACGGATCATTATTTTATATACACGAAATTTCGGATATCCAAATTTTTGGATCGGATTGAATCCAATATTCAAATTTGCACACCCCTACATAAAACTTATGTGAGTCTTCCGCTATGCGAAGCGGATCTCACGAACAATCAGCAGTGACCACATTTCAATCACCTACAAACCTCACGAGCGCATCCAACAAATCATCGCCAACGACCACGTGTTGATATAAATGATTTCTTTTGATAACAAACTAGTATAAGCCATCACTTCACATCATAAGAAGTTCAATCAGTATTAATGTCACGACAACTCTCGATCAATACCTACTTATTTTATAAATAATCATGCAACATATAATAAGATGACGAACACTTTCTTCTAAAAAAGAAGATGACGATCACTTCTCCTTCATTACCAGACTAAAACTAACAACATAATCTCTAGACCATCTTCTATAGTTTTCGATCATTTTATCAATTAATGAACCTATGTAAACGTGTTTACACGAATTTAAATTCTTCAAAGATTTTTTTTCTTTTATTACATACGCCGTTCGATTGATCTAAAAAAACTTCTTTTTCATAATAGATGCACTGAAATAAAATATATACTTTAACTTGAGATGCTTTTCAACCTAGTGATTAATCAACGAAATGAAAGCATAAAAAGGTTGCCTTTCCTTTTCTTACAACATTTGCTTACTCTTTTACGTCTGTCAATGTAATAACTATTTATATTTATATTTATATTTATATTTATATTTATATTTTATATTATATTTATATTTATATTTATATTTATATTTATATTTATATTTATATTTATATTTTATTTATTTATATTTATTTATTTATATTTATATTTATATTTATATTTATATTTATATTTATTTATATTTATATTTATATTTATATTTATTTATATTTATATATTATATTTATATTTATATTTATATTTATATTTATATTTATATATTATATTTATATTTATATATATTTATATTTATATTTATATTTATATTTATATTTATATTTATTTATATTATTCTCACCTTTTCACTTCACCATGAAATCAGCGTTTGATAGTAAGAAGCAACGAAAGTCGAGTTTAACCTAATCTGTTTAAAATTACTCTCTAAACTTGTCATTTAAAATTTTAATTAAATTAATTTCTTAATTTATTTTATTAGATTACGGCTTCATTCGTGCTTCAAAACTATAATAGCTAGTCGCAATGACATTTACATTTGTTGTGTATAAACAAGGAAGAATTGAATTAATGATAAACGAAAATTTTAATGTCAACAAAACAATGATGATTCTACAATATATATATATATATATATATATATATGAGAAGGGAAGAGCAGTCGATTCCTTAAAATTTTTAAATTCTTTTATATCTTAGTTTTTTTTATGTATTTTCTATTCATAATATATTTTCGCCTACTAAAATCTTTATACATTTATCCCCTATCATAAAATCTTGTGTCCGTCTATATATATATATATATATATATGAGTAATTTGAGGAAGCTGAATTGAGCCGACGGTGGACCCTAACCGAAGAAGAATGATAAAGTGAAGTCTAAACTTTTCCCTCTATTTTAGTGGCCATCGGCAATCCCTTCATTGTTTGGTAGGTAAGAAAATCTTTAAAGAAATTTTACCAAACAGGGTGATTTGCAAGGCATGCCATCGGTGTCCCTTAAACTTCAAGTGCATGTATGTTTATGGCATATCATCCACTTATATACACCTCACAAACGCCCCATTTATCCCATAACATAAATTAAAAACACAATGAGTCCCAAAAGCCTTTGTTTCACTGTTCTTGTTGCCTTTTTTGCATCCATGGTTGTCATCAATCCAAGCCCTCAAGTCCTCAAATATATTGTCGATTTCAGTCTAACCATCTCTTCCTCGCCGCCCATCGTTGCGAAGTTCATCCCGTTCCACTTCAACAGCCTACGTCGACATCGAAAACACCCTGGTAAGGACAAACCGGTATCCGTCTGCGACGACTTCCCTCCCAACTTCCCGCCTCCGGAAACCAACACAAAACTTACGCTTTGTGTTGATCGAAACGGATGTTGTAATTTCACAACGGTGCAAGCTGCCATTGATGCAGTCCCAAACCTAAGCATCAAAAGAACTGTAATATGGATCAACTCGGGCATTTACTAGTGAGCTCCTATCCTTATATTTGATGTTAATTACTACTGTTATTTTGCGATACAATTGGAAAATATTGATACCATTTTTCTTTCCAGTGAGAAGTCATTATTCCAAAAACCAAACCCAACATTACATTTCAAGGACAAGGCTATACATCAACAGCAATAGCTTGGAATGACACTGCACTTTCTGCAAATGGAACCTTTTACAGTGGTTCAGTTCAAGTTTTCTCCACCAACTTTATTGCCAAGAACATAAGCTTCATTGTGAGAAACGATGAGTACATAATCAAACACCATATGTTAAGATTTTAAAAACATACTGCTTCATCTGATGTATTCCTGTTTTTTATCATAGAATGTAGCTCCTATACCTCGTCCAGGTGTTGTTGGGGCACAAGCAGTGGCAATTAGAATTACCGGAGACCAAGCAGCCTTCTGGGGTTGCGGTTTCTTTGGAGCTCAAGACACCCTTCACGACGACCGTGGCCGCCATTACTTCAAGGAATGCTATATACAAGGCTCCATCGACTTCATTTTCGGGAACGGAAAGTCTCTTTATGAGGTGATCACGTTTTTACTACGCACGCAAGCAAACAATTTACAAACTGATTATAAGATTCGATCTTCAACAGGATTGTCAGATGTTATCCATGGCTAACCCCGTGGCACCGGGATCGAAATCCATAAGCGGAGCAGTGACGGCACATGGACGAGCTTCGGCGGATGAAAACTCGGGGTTTGCATTCGTCAACTGCAGCGTGGGTGGCACCGGGAGAATATGGCTCGGCCGTGCATGGAGGCCATTTTCTCGTGTGGTTTTCGCTTTCACGTCTCTGACGGATATCATTGCACCAGAGGGATGGAATGATTTTAACGATCCTACACGAGACCAGTACGTATGAAAATTGGTTATTTAATAAAAAAGGGTTTCGATATTATTTAATTCAGCGTTAAATATATATCTGATACATATAATTTTCATTTTTCTCATTTTAGTAATTGAAGAATATATTTTTACTAATTTTGTCCCTGAAATTGTAAAAGTAATCACAGTTAATTACTGATATAGGAGCATATTCTACGGAGAATACAATTGTACGGGTGCAGGAGCAAATATGAGTGGAAGGGCACCATATGTTCAAAGGCTGAATGATACGCAGGCTTCTCTTTTCCTCACCATGTCATTTATCGATGGAGATCAATGGCTGCTATCTTACGATACTTAGAACATCCGTCAATATTATAATCTCCCAAACTTGTTATTAATTGATGTCATCAAATAACGGAGTCCATTTTTATTTCTTTATTTCAACTTTATTAGTATCATTAATTTTTTTCGTATTAATAAAAAATATATTTATACAAAA